ACAGAGTGACACAGTGAAGTCACAGGGAGAAGAACACCTCAGAGGAAACTAACATCACCAGATTCCATCCTGAGCTTTTGGCCTCCAGAATGGTGAGAAAAAGGATTATTTTTTTCTGCTTAAACCACCTGGTTTGTGGGACTATTTCATGGTGTTTCAAGCAAACATATACAGTTGATGTTTTTGTATCCTGAGTTTTTTCTATTTTGTTTTTGCAAAGAAAAAAAGCCCTTAAAATTTTTCTTAGAGGGTGGGCACAAACAACCACACATAGGTATTGCCAGGGAGGGGCCAGCTCTTCCATAGACCAATGTAAGACATTCGTATTTGGTGCTGAGACTTGCACTGATAGTTACAGCAGGTGCACAGAGACGCCATGCACTAAGACTCCAACCCTTGCCAGGGCTCTGCTGTTTCTCTTGCTCATAATCTTTTTACACATTTTAAAGACACCTCCTCTTCCCCCTTAGGCTACTCACTGTTTCCCATCTGCCTTCTGTCTTCCAAAATTTTGTTGGCATCTCTTACCATTTCTGGCTGCTCTTGTTAACATCATCTTTGTGGTTATTTTTTTTATTCCTTTATTATTATACCAGTGGTTTCTGGGAAGGAAAGGAAATAAACATGAGTGTAACAGCACTTTACTTAATGTTAAAAATTATAGGAGCTTGAGGGATGGCTCAGAGGTTAAGTGCACTGGCCGTTCTTACAGAGGATCTGGGTTTGGTTCCCAGCAACCACGTGGTAGCTAACAACTGTCTGTAACTCTGGTTCCAGGGGAATCAAACACTCTCTTCTGACCTCTGCAGGACTTGCATGACATGGGTGCACTTACATACATGCAGGCATTAGACTCATATACATAAAATTAAAAAATAAAGTATTAAAAATTATAAAATAAGTATTTCCAATAAAGTTTTTAAAAGCAAGATTAATTGTGGGACTTGTTAAGTCCCACTTCTGATTAAAATATTATTTGGAATGGTTTTAATTAAAAATATTTTTCTGTAAGTGTGTGTGTGTGTGTGTGTGTGTGTGTATGTGTGTGTGTATGAACATGCCATGGCCTACCTGTGGAGGTCAGAGGACAACTTGCAGGAGTCAGTTCTCTCCTTCACCCAGTGGGTCCCAGAGATTGAACTTGGGTTTTTAGGGTTAGCAGTGGCACCTCCCCCACTGAGCCATCTTGCCTGCCCCATACACAGTAACTTTTATCAATTTCACATTGATATGGTTTACTTGAAGATTTTAAATTGAATTAATAAGTAGTTATCATGTAAAAATTGGCATAATTCTAGACCAAATTCTTTCTCATTTATAAAGAATATAATCAATACATCAGAAATTATCTAACTAAATATTATAATATAAACTGACTGTTTATCAGAGCATTTATTGAGTGGGTAAGATGTTCAGAACAGGACAGTTTTTTTTCAGTGACGGTGACATCTGCTTTCATAAAGGTAAACTAATGGGTAGGTGGGATGGCTCAGTGGATCAAGGCACTTGCTGGAAACCTGAAGACCCAAGTTCAATTTCCAAGACTTTCATGGGGGGTGGGGGGTGGAAGGAGAGAACTGATTCGTAGAAGTTATCCTTTAACTTCTACATCATGCCCTGGCATGCTACCCCCGCCCCCCACAAAAAATAAGTGTAATTTAAGAAATTTTAGTAAAGGTAAACTGAAACTTCATGATGTCTATGTGTATTTCTGTTTTAACCTTCTCTCCTTGTTCCGACCTGCAACGATAGCTATTTTGGCCAAATGTTAGCACTAGACATCAAATTCATACTCTGCACATTAAGCAGCCTCTAGACTTTGCTTTCTCTTCTTCACTATGTAATTTAAAATAAGTTCCTAAGAGATTCTGATTCCCTTTCTCCATGGGTTGCCTATTACGTGGCCATGTGAACTGCCAACTTTTTTTTCCAGGAGGGTTACTAAAGAGGGCATATAAACAATGACAGTCATTATGGCTTCCTTACCATGTGCATGGTCTAATGCTCCAAGAGATCAGTGTTCACTTTTATATTTATATTCTGAATAAGTCCTTCGCAAAATATTGCCTTTGCCAAGTTAAAGTTGATTTTAAAAATTGTATTTGCAAATGTTACATGCAGGTATGAAGGAAAGTTTTCAACCAGAATGCAAATCTTTTCTGTCTTTTTGGTTAATTTTGTGTGCACTTACATGACTTTTGCATATTTTAAACACGTGACCAATGAGTTGTCATGTTTTTGTGTTCTCTTCCATGGTACATGGGTCAGGAATTGTTTCAGGGCATGATATTTGATTTGTTTTGTACGCCTATCACAAAATACCAGCAACTGAGTGTTCTTTAAGAAAACTTTTATTTAGAGCAGTTTTAGAGGTTAAAGATCCAGCTTTTTGGTCTCTGGCTAGAGCTTCCTGATATTCAGCCTCCCCAGGCTACATCCAGTTAGGGGACAGAGCTAGGTCACATAACCAGACCAGTCATTTCCACTTTTACTCCACAATCACCCCACAGTTCTGCCATCTGCCATCATTTCTACTAACGGAGTCGCCATCACCTAACACTACAAAGGTTTCTGGGTTAGAGGATGCTTAGTTCGACAGGTGCTCTCTGCACTCTGAGTTCACTTTCATAGTGACTGTTGGCATTGGGTTATTCCTGGCTTTCCTTAGGGGATGAGCAGGCGTGTCCATGCTGTCTTATTTCTCTTCCTGCCCTTTGCTTTTGCTGGCTCTCTCTCCTTTTCTGTTTTCTTGGTGCATTGTTTCAGAAGTAGTAACAGGGGGAGCAAAGAAAATTTAAATCTCTTTAACCCAGATGAGTCATTTGATCAGAGTCTCAGCTTCCTCAAACTACCAAGTTAATACTGTCCACCTACAGTTCAAAGAATGGAAATAAAATCTGTAAAACAACTCACACAATGCTTTGTGGGTAAGTTCTCAATAGGCGTGCTAGCTGGGATTGTCCCTGTCTCTATGCAGCTCTGCAATACTGCTGCATAGAACATGATGGCCCTTTGAATAATTCTGTTCCAAGCCTTCAATTATCTTTCATAACAATGGCACCACGTTTATATTGTTGACTGCAGTTTATCGGTATCCTCCCCAGCTGTCAACGCAAAGCTTCACTTTTGATAGTGTAATTAGCTGTAGAGTGGTACTGTGCATTTTCGTTAGTTAATATTTCCTTGATTGCCAGCTGAGCTTGAACATATTTTTCTCTAAATGGTATCTGTTCATGTTGATCTGACAGTGGGAACTTGTCGCTATGCTTACACATTGTTTAAATGTGAAGTTTAGAGATAAGTATCACTTTCATCATAGCTCTGGTGTAACATGTTTAATATTTTAATAACGAAGTTCAGGAACTTATTCTCTCTTTTATTGACATGGTAGTTAAGGGAACCATATTTCTCTTAAGAACTGTTTAACTATACCACAATTCATTTTAAATATATTTTTAAAATTCATTACTTTTATTTTTATTTTATGTATATGAGTGTATTGCCTGCATGTGTGTGAGTGCACCCATGTCATGCAATGCCTGTGGAGGTCAGAAGAGGGCATTGGATCCCCTGGAACTGGAATTTTGGATGGTTGTTAGCTGCCATGTGGGTGCTGGGAATTGAACCTGGGTCCTCTGCAAGAGCAGCCAGTGCTCTTAACTGCTGAGCCATCTCTGCAGCCCCTGAATTCATTTTTTATTCTAAACTCTTTCCACATTTTTAGCAGCTTCATGTATCTGGATGGAGTGCCTGTAATTTATGGTAAAACACTGAATTATTTTTTTCTTTGATTGACAGCCAGTCATTCTGCAGAGCTTTTACAACATTTAAAAATATTTGATTCAGCACACCTACATTTTGCATTGTATAACTTTATTTTATTAACTTCTTTACATATTTGATATTATACTTTGATATTTTTGATTGAAACTGTACCAGCCTTGAGTGTTTTTAAAAATTAAGGCCAGAAGCAAGGCACATATTGTGTTTTCTTCAAATTGTTTTTTATTTCTCCTATTAAGATTTGGTAATTTTATTTGTGCCAGAGAATGCCACATTAGCATAACCAGCAGATATTTTTTATTGTTGAAATGAGTGTTCTGTTCATCTGATGACCACGTTATGAAATGTTCTAGATGATCACAAATAGCTTTTAGCATATTACCCTGGATTTCCTAGCCATAAATGTTTTGAACATTGTGATTCTTTCCTCTCTTCATTCCTCAATACCCCATTTAAAAATATTTTATTTATTATTTTTATTTTATGAGTGTATTGTCTGCATGTGTGTGAGTGCACCCATGTATGTTGTTCAGTGCCTATGGAGGTCAGAAGAAGGCATCAGATCCCTTGGAACTGGGGTTACACATGGTTGTTAGCGACCATGTAGGTGCTGTGAACTGAACCTGTGTCCTCTGCAAGAGCAGCCAGTGCTCGTAACTGCTGAGCCATCTCTCCAGTCCTTAATATCCCATTTTTAATGGCATCACAATAGCAGGCATCTTTCATAATATGCTAAGCTTGAGTACAACACACTGTGTTTTTGGTTTGTATGGCAATGTGTACTTTATGCCCTTGTTAAGAATTTTCACTCTTAAGCTGGGTGTGGTGGCTCATGCCTTTAACCTCAGCACTGAAGAGGTAGAGGAAAGTGGATCTCTGTGAGATTGATGTCTATATAATAAGTTCCAGACCAGCTGGGAAACAAAATGCCCAAACAAATAAAAAATAGCCTCTTGCCCCCAAACAAAACAAAGATTTTTGACTATTTTCTAATATGATTTAAAAAGGATCATTTTATGCGTGTGTGTAAACTTTGCTTTCAAAACATCTAGAGAAACATGTAATTTTGTCAAATGTCTTTTGGAGAAATCTACTTATACATTGATCTCAAGATTTTGTTAATCATTGCGTTGATATTTACATAATTTTCTAGAGATATGGTTCATTTAGTTATGGGAAATGAATTGATGACTATATTCATTTATTCTCTCATTTAGGCTCATAAGTGGGCTGTCTACACAAGAATCGTACTTCAAAGCAATAAACTCGCTAGTTAGGCTTAAGGTGACCGTACTTCAAGAATCCTGGAATGCTAGCTAAGAGGTATTTTTAAAATATTTTGTTATTTTTATTTTATGTGTATGAATGTATTGCCTGCATGTGTGTAAGTGCACCCACGTCGTGCAATGCCCGTGGAGGTCAGAAGAGGGCATCGGATTCCCCTGAAATTGGAGTTAATAGGTTGGTAGCCACCATGTGGGTACTGGAAGCTGAACCCAGGTGCTCTGCAAAAGCAGCCGGGCTCTTAGCCCTTGAGCCATCTCTTCAGCCCTGACGGGTATTTTTATTGCATCTCAGGATTTGATCTCTGAGAGAATATTCACACTCCACATTGACTCTCGGCTAACAATCAAGGAAACTGAGGTCTCAAGATGTTAATGACTTGCTCACAAGCCCATCGGTGATTAGTGGTACAAAGAAGATCACATATGTGGAAATTGTGTTTCGTATCCTTAGAAGACATAGCAGTAGGTTCCGGGATTTCGGCTCAGTGGGCGAACTGTGTAGAAGAACCTGAGTTTGGATCTCTAGCAGCATGTAAACAAAGCTGGGTGTGGTGGCATGGGTCTGTAACCCCGGGGCTGGGGGTAGGGTGGATCCTGGCCAGCCAGGAACTCCAGGTTCAGTGAGATCCTGCCTTTAAGAAATAAGGAGAGGGGTTAAGAGACCTGTGCATGTGCACGCACAGATGCACACACTCATAGTCACATGTACGCACACATTCTTACAACACACACAAAGACAGAACTATATTAAAATCTATTATTTCACTGAGCATAATCTAGACAGACAAAAAGATGAAAGAATCAGGAAATGAGTCTTATGAGAAAAATGTAAAAGAAACTAGATTCATCTAGCTTATGGGGGTGGCAAGATTGAAAAGACTTAATATTATCTTTTGTGCAGAAAAATAAAAAAGAATTCCTAAAGAAAGGAACATCTGAAAATCTGTTTATACAAAGGTTCCCGAGGAACTGCTGTGACAAGTCTGAGGCCTTCAGGTGATGGAGCGCCCCACTGCCTGCCAGCATCTCTGTGTTAAAGGTGGACAGAGGGGAGGAGTGTGCACTGGGGAGGCCTGGTGTGCAGTCCCTGATGTAATAACTGAGTTTAAGTTACTTGAAGTTTTAGTGACTTTAATGCTATCTGCTGCTCTTGGGAAGGCTGTTTCCACATCAACATGGAATTTACTTTGCTTCATTAAGATGCTACTCTTGGACAATGGAGTAGTTCTGGAATCTAGCTAAACGTATACAACAGAGACCACGGAGTACTCTGGTGGAAATAACAGGAATATCGTGGTTATGGTCAGACAGAATTATTTGGGCACCCTGCAGATTTATGAGCTGAAAAAAGTGTTCAGAATTCCTTCTGTTCAGAGCTCTGTTGAGCAAACCTCTGTACAGTCAAGAGTGCCACACCTGGTAACGACATTTGCAGCTGCCTGTTGGCACCACTGTCACCCACCTGTCTTTGAAAGCAGGTCTCATTTGTTCTGGGAAGCCTCTGGTGCTGAACACAGTGTCTAAATCATACGTTCCCTGTTTTAAATATCTTGAAGAAACAAGTGGATGACTAGAATCTGAGATAAGTTCTTTCTTGTTGCAATAGCAAAATACCATAGACTCAGCAGCTTATAAACAACAGGGGTTTATTTCTCATGGTTCTGGGAGTGGGACCCACTGTATGGTTTTCAGGGTCATCTTCTTACTGTAAAGTCGCCTAGTATAGGGGAATGCAAGCTCTCTGAGGTCCCCAGGGCTCATCCTAATGGAGTATCAAACACTCCACCTCTAATACCATCACAATGGGGGTGGGCAGAAGGTTAGTTTCACTACATGAATATGCGAGTTTTAGCACGAGCTAAACTCAATCTCTCAGCTAGGAAAATTTCCTTTATTATTATCCTGAGAAATATTTAGCTTTAAAGTCTTACTAGAACTAAACGGTAAGTTGGATTCTGTCTTGTCATCATTTTTCAAGAAAAATATTTATTTAGTGTTGTGTGTATGTGTGCACAACTGGAGGTCAGAGGACAACTTGGTCAAGTTGGTGCTGTGAGTCCACCTTCACATGGGGATAAACTCAGGTCATCAGGCTTGGTAAGCACCTTTACCTGCTGAGCCATCTCAACAGTCCAGAGTTCACCTTTTCTGTGTCACCTCTTATGAGTGCCCACCATTGGTCTAAACTCGAACCACATCATACTGGCCAATTCTATGGCAATGCTTCTTAAACTTTTCTACTTGTGGCCCTCAGGGCTTATGACACTGGTTATGGCTGATAGCGAGTGGCTGATAAACATTTGAGAGGCAGACTGAATATGTTCTAGATGAATCAGGACAGGCAGGAAGCACAAGGTGGGAAATGCAGGCTCTGAGTCAGTTACTCTTCTAGACCCTTCTCTTTGACTTACTTAGTTGTAGGCCATTTGGCAGTCATGTGACCTCTTGGAACCACATGTTCTGGTTTATAAAGAGATCACAATAGTGCTGACCTCCTAAGGTTTGCTGGGGATGGGCTGTGGAACGTTTAACACAGTGCCTGGTGCTGAGCAAGTATTTGAAAAATGTGATTGTCAGGAAGTGGAGCACTGAGAGCCGAGTTTAGAATTCCCCTGTTCTTGCACTTTCTTTCAGATTGCAGGGCCCCAGGGTGACAGTGGGCTCAGCAATTCCTTCCGCCACCCCAGCCCTGCTGCGGAGGATACCAAACAGGACTGCACCCTCCAGCCCTCACATTTCAGCTGGCTCATTCTGCACTGGCCTTCTGAACACTTGGAAATACTCCACTCTGCAGGCTCAATGGGAACATTTAGGAGGCTGTCATTAATAATTATTAGTTCCTTGGAACCCTGCAAGCTGTTGACAGGCTACAGAGGCAAGCTGAAAGCCCTGTTTTCTCACAAGGAATAATCAAACATGTTTTAGATTCCATTGGCTTTCAAGACAGTCCTGTGTGAATGGCAAGCTTTGAGCACTGACCTAGATTCAGAGTCAGTACTTACATTTTTAAAAATTAATATTTTATTATTTTATGTGCATGAGTGTATTGCATGCATGCAAGTGCTCCCATGTCATGCAGTGCCTGTGGAGTTCAGAAGAGGGCGTTGGATCCCCTGGAACTGAAGTTATGGTTGGATATTAGCTGCCACATGGGTGCTAGGAATCAGTCAGTGCTCTTAACCACTGAGCCATCTCTCCAGCCTCCCCTCCTCTCCCCCCCTTTTTTTTTTTTTTGAGACAGGCTCTCCCTGTATCCCCCAACTGGCCTGGATCTTGCTACATAGACCAGGCTGGCCTTGATCTCACAGAGAGCCACCTGCCTCTGTCTCCCAAGTGCTGGAATAAAAGAGTTAAAATCACGTTCCATGGAAGTATTTACGCCTTTTAGGTTCATCCCTCTTACAAGTTACAATCTGAGATATGCCCTTGCCACGGAAGATAGAGAGCAGACCTGAAGTGTGTTCCGCCTGTTTTGTCTCCTAACAATTCTTTTGTTTTCATATTTCAACTTGGACACCCTGTCCACAAAGTCAGAAATTCACGCCATAGAACATTCTCCTGCATTCCCAAATTCACTGCCTCTGCAGAGTGCCTGTTGCCACCATGAAGGAAAGTTACCTGATGACTAGGACATTCCTCTGTCTCAGTCCACAGGGCAATCATCCCTCTGACAGCTGCTGCCAGCAGAGAAGGGAAGCAGGGCCTCCAAAGCCGCTTCCTTCTGGGGTCTTCGATAATGACCATGATTAATGACAGGCTCCAGAGGGGTCTGAAGATGTCAACTGCATCCAGTCCCCGGGGCTGCTTCTCTGTGAGGGGGCATCCATCTAAAAGGGTCCACCATGGCTGATCCAAAGCAAGGGATCTCTGTCACACAGGCCTCCTTCTTTTCCCCACTGGTCCTTCTCATGCTGGGTCAGCAAGCCACAAAGGTCAAAGGGTATATGGCATGCTTGGGCCACAAGACCATGGAATGCTGTAATATGGATGATGGGATTGGAGAGTGAAATGAAGAAACATGGTGTTAACAGAATGGGAAACCACGTGTTCTTTCCTGTACCTGTTGTGATGCACTTCTGTTCTGACCTCTCGAGATTGCGAACACGTGCCCATCTCATAAGAATGGCTAGAATAACAACCCATCTGTTTTAGTTTGTCTCTTATTGCTGTGACTAAGTACTCTGACCAATACCAACTTGGGGAGGAAAGGGTTTATTCAGCTTACATCTCCCAGGTCACAGTTCATCAGGGATCCCAAGGTAGGAACTCAGGGCGGGAACCTGGAAGCAGGAGCTAAAGCACAGGCCATGGAGGAATGCTGCTTACTGGCTTGCTCTCCTGCTCAGCCTGCTTTCTTACGCAACACAGGCCCACCTGCCCAGGGGTGGCACCACCCACAGTGGGCTGGGCCCTCCCACATCACTCAACAATCAGAAGATGCCCCTCAGACATGGCCACAGGCCAGTCCAATAGAGGCAATTCCCCAGTTGAGGCTCCCTCAGCCCAGGTGTGTCAAGTTGACACTAAAGCTATCTAGCACACCACCCCACACCCAAACACTGCTTATGGACTATGCTGTTTTCGTCATTCAAATCTGCCCCAATTTTATGTCCTAAGAGACCTAAAAACCCTCCTCAGCCTAGAGATTCTAACACTTGAGTTTCTTCAACTCTAGACCTTTGCAGCTCTGACTCCCCAGAGTGATCCCTAGTTCCACCTGCATACCTGTCCGCTGTCCTCTGCTGACACTGGTTTCTCCCAGCTTCCTCATAACTCGAATCTGGCTTTACAGATTAATCTCTACATCTTTAATTGACCAGGGCTCACCTTAAAATTCCATTACACTATCCCCAATGAGGCAACATTCTCAACAGCAAGTTCCCATCTCCTCCCCCATCCTTTGTGCTCACATGTTTAATTCCCCCTTTACACAAGTGATAAGACTTATAGTTACATAGGCATATCAATTTTGGTTTAGTCAGTTTTCTGAATCTTTAAAAACAAGAAAAATCGGACCTTCGAGATGGCTCAGCAGGTAAGTTCTTGTCATGCAAGCCTGATGACCTGAATTCCATCCATGAAGCTCACTGTAGAAAGAGAGCAGCTTTCAAAAAGTTATCCTATGACCTCCTCACACTCAATGTGGCACTTGTGGTGGGACCATAGCTATGCCATGTTACAAGCAGGCCCCAGCTACACCCAGTAGTTATAGCTAGAGGCAGTTAACTTAAATATGGGAATGAAAAGAAAAAAAGTTTGACCCTGCTGTACCACAGTGTGGGCTTGAGAACAGGCCAGCTTGCACCTGGTTACCTTTGCTAACAGCAGATTTATGGCTTCTGTAGGTTTTGATTGGCTTGTTCTTGCAGAATAGTAATTGTCTTAAAGAATAGAAATCATTGGGGGGCTTTCCACCCCTAAGCTTGGGAACTTAAACTTTTCACCCCTGGATGTAGTTTTTCTGTATAAAAGCTTACCTTAAGGACAGCTTGGGACTCCACTTGGGGGCCAAATGCCCAGTGTAGTTGCTAGCAAGCTAAAATATATATACAAAGACTTTTCTTTTGGCATTTTTTTCCAGGTCTGAGTGGTCTTCTCTGCTGAGAAATATCACAACACACTCACACATCATACATACATAATAATAATAAAAGAAAATTAATTATCATTTATCTTATTGCATTTTAAGCTCTCTTTATGTGCTTTTAAGTTTCTGTCTAATATCATATTTCTTTACCTGAAGAAGTTCTGGTACCACTTACTGTATTATATGTCTACTAGCTG